GGCCACACTTCCTCCCTCACACTCAGTCACAGACGCCTAAACATTGTGTTGCAGTGGAAACGGGAGAGGACTCCTGACCTGGGGACACCTGTGCCGCCGGGGCTCGTATTTACAAGCTAAGTCATGCTTCTATGCTTTAGAAAATGACCTCATCTTCTGCCAAGGCCACTGGCGTCAGGTTGCAGATGATTCTAGAAGAGGTTTTCCAAGCTGGGGGTGGCCATTGTGAGCTCACTGAAATGGCCGGCTCTGTGTGAACACACTCCTGGCTTCAGGGCACGAGGTCTGGGCTGGGGCGCAGCATCTCCCTACCCTGCTTGACCTTCCATCTCCATGGAAATCACTTGCCCACCATGGACCACCAGGCGGATGCACACTCCCAGAAGAACAGAGTGCTCATCAGGGAGTCACTCCTCAGCTGTAGTGACAGGACAACTGTGCTCTCCCCACGAAGACTGATCATGTGGTTCGCAGGTCAGACACCTAATTTGGGAGTTAAACAGGTGAGGGAAACACATGAGAGTCTTGCAGTAAAGGATTTTTCCTGTATCCTAGGTAAAAATAAAAGTCGTTTCAGATTTTAGAGACAGGGAAGGCATCCACCCACAGGGCATGCCCAACACCTTCTTTTGTTCCCAAACTGAAGGCTCTTCTGATCTACAAGGGCCCCGACAGGATGCCTGATGTGTGGCCAACTTATATGGGCCAATAGCTGTCACAGAACCCCTCCCCCACCCTCACCCCGTCTGACCAGTGACCTTGCAGACAGCACCTTTAGAGGGCAGACTCCAGGGCAGGGCCCGTCTCTGATGTCCCACCACCACCACACCAGGCTTGTGTTCACGTCAGTAACCCCGCTGCCTTAATAAATAAATCACTTCCTCTCTCCCCTTCCTTCCTCTCCCTCACTCTCACTCCCTCTTCTAGAAATCCACATGTGCTAACAAGCATACTCAGGCCTCTCTGAGTCCAAGGTTGAGCCATTTACGTACTAGTTTGAGTTAGGCCAATCGGCTCCCTCTCTCCCAGCATCTCTGTGAGATCAGCTACACTAAGGGAGAGGAGCAGGTGGCTCTCGGGTCTAGGGGACCGGCTTAAATGGGGTACCCTCTAGAGGGGCAGCTGGTCAGCATGTGACTCCTGGGGGAAGGGATACTAAGAAGTAGCAGGACTTGGGGCTTGAAAGGTAACAAGCTCAATTGCGTCCTCCTGTGTCTGAGAGACCAGCTCCTTACTCAGAAAGAGGAGGGAACTATTTCCATCCCTTTTGCCTCCTCCTTTGAGTAGGGCACCACTTCTCCCAAAGCCCAAAGTCTGAAACTCAGTCCCTGCTTGCCCAGCCCCAACCGCTTCCTATATGTTTGACATCTGCCAGTCTTTATGGTAAGGACTCATCTCAGGGGAACAAGGCTGAGACTCAGAAAGATCTTTGGTCTTCAAGAAGGGCTCAGTTGCATTCTTTGGTTAATTCCCAATTAGACAGAATATTAAAAGAGCAAAAGCACTCCACTCCTAAATATCCCTGTTAATTTTTAGACCTGGAATGTTCATCTCTGTAATGCTTTTAAAATCAACAAAATAAATGCGACATCATCCCCACATTTGCTGTCATGAGATTATCAGAGTAGCCAAAATTAATACTTAGTTTGCACATTAAATCTGTAATGCTTTCTCCCATGAGTGCACTACAAGTGAAGAGATTTTCTACTTGGTAGAATTTTCTGCTACCAAGAGAAAATTCTGAGTAAATACCCAAGACGTCCTGCTGCTGGTCTAGTAGGGGACAGAACCCACCGCCCCCCCCATTGAGAGAAAGGAACAGGGGATTCCAGTTCAATCAACTTCTATCTCGCTGCAAACTCTGGGGGCCGGCTGGCACGGACACCACTCCAGAAAACTCCCCTCCCAACAGAATTCCTGCTTCTGTCCGGCAACTACCTAGGTGCCAAGCAAAGTAAGTCTTGCAGAGAACTGAAACTTAACTTGTTCTCAGACCTAACTTTTCTCTTGGTTGACTAGATTTGGTAGATGCATTATGCAGGTGACTCCTTTCTAAAACAGATCACATGGCGAGTACTTGAGTCATTTCTCGAGACCAACATGCTCAGTGTGAATTTCAGGTGTTCTCAAAACTCTCGAGGTGGGCACGAGGTGCCGATGAGCCCAGGCTTCTGTGCCTTTTGACCACTCTTCGTTTTCATAGTGCTCCTGTCCTGTTAATGTCTCAATGTCCACCTCTGCTTCTGGTGTCCCTGCTGGTCAACCTTGCATGGGCAACAGAGGTCGTCCGTAACCACGATCCTCCAAGCTGTCCCTGAATTCAAATGATGACCATTTACGAAGCACGGACTAGGGGTTAGACGTGTCCTCAGTTGTTTATATGCATGAACCCACTTACTCCTGACAACCCTATAAAGAAGATGCTAGTGTTATGTTCCCCCTTTCCAGATGGAGGCACTGAGGTCAGTGACTTGTAGAAAATGGCAGTAATCATCTTGGACGATTAGACATCAGAGCCGGCACCCGAACCCAGGCCCCCTCTGAGTGCAGCCTCAGGAACAGACACCTTCTCTGGACAGGCTGACCCAATTCCTGTTCCTCTGTGACTTCTGGAATGCTGTATTCATGCGGGCCTCTTTGGAAGCACCTGGCACTCATGTCACAGTAGGAGCAAAATGAATTCAAGGGGGGGGATTCTTTGGAAAAGTTATTAAAATAGAGAAGACACTAGCTGGTCTAATCAAGAAAATAGCAAGGACGCACAAATGCAAAATTGGAGGTGATAAAGGGGAAATAAGCCGATGCAGAGGAAATGCAAAGAAGCAGAAGATTATGTTTTTTCTTTTTGCTCGTATGTATTTGCACTAAACGATACACATGAGATTTCCGAGAGACGATGTCCAGTCGGCCACTGTACACGTGGGTCATCGTCTTCTCTGGCAAATGTTGCATGTTTGTTATGTGTCGCCGTGAGGTCGTCTCCAGCAGGGGTTGGTGGTCCCGCTTGCTACTTGTATTAGTTAATAAAGTTCTCCCGGCACACAGTCACGTCCATTCATTTATGTGTTACCATTCGTTTATGGAAGCTTTGGTGCCTCAACAGCAGAGGTGAATAGCTGAGACCAAACCCACGTGCCCCCCAGAGCCTAAATGATTTACCATCTGGTCCTTCACAGAAGACGTTTGCTGATGCCTGTGCTGGAGCCCTATGATTTCTCCAGTTTCAGACTCATTCCCAGTTTATTTCTCGGCTCAGAATTTCCAAACCAAGTAGTTGATATTGATTCAGAACTCACTCATGGGGGCACCTGGGTGGCGCAGTGGGTTAAAGCCTCTGCCTTCGGCTCAGGTCATGATCCCAGGGTCCTGGGAACCGGTGCCGAACCGGCTCTCTGCTCAGCAGGGAGCCTGCTTCCCTTCCTCTCTCTCTGCCTGCCTCTCTGCCTGCTTGTGATCTCTGTCAAATAAATAAATAAAATCTAAAAAAAAAGAAACTCACTCATGTACCTGCCCCGTATATGCTATCCCCGTTTCATATGCTCTGTTTCTAACCACCGATGGCCTCTGGTGGGTGGGACAACTGTGAGGCCTCATCTCAGACCATACACTTGCTTTTATCTTATTGTAGGGATTCCTGACTGTGTTAGTTTTCTTCTGCTGCATAACCAATGACAATTGCTTAAACCCATTGGAACCCAAGGAACTAAGAAACTCAGTTCCTTACGTCAGAAGTCTTAAAGCCCCATTTTCTTGCTGGTTATTGGCCAGGGACCACCCTCGGCACCTACAGGCCACTCTTGGGTCCTCATACCATGGTTCCTTCCATCTCACCAATGGAGAACCTCGTTGTCTAATCCCTCTTATGCTTTGAATCTCTCTGGCTGCCTTTTCTGCTACCAGCTGGAGAAAACTTGGCTTTGAAAAGGATCAGGAGAGTCGGTAAAGCCCAAGGGATAATCTCACTTCCTTAAAGTCAACCATGTCATTTCGTATAACCTCATCACAGGAGTAATAGCTCATCCTATCGGGCAAGTCCCACCCACTATCACAGGGCAGGGATTCGACAAAGGCGAGGGGCATACAGCGCCATCCTAGAATTCCATCCAGCACACTGGCTTTTTGTCGGGAGCTCTATTCCATCTTCTTCTTCTTCTTTTTTTTTTTTTAAGATTTTATTTATTTATTTGACAGACAGAGATCACAAGTAGGCAGAGAGGCAGGCAGAGAGAGAGAGGGGGAAGCAGGCTCCCCGCTGAGCAGAGAACCCGATGTGGGGCTCGATCCCAGGACCCTGAGATCATGACCCGAGCTGAAGGCAGAGGCTTTAACCCACTGAGCCACCCAGGCACCCCTCTATTCCATTTTCTTACCACACTGAGTCCTCAGGCCTCATCTCTAGTGCTCATTCTTGTAGAATAGACGCTGATGGACCACTCAGGTTCAACCCCCACTCACTGCTCCGGCTTCTAGTTCCTTCTTCGTTTTCTATACCTGAGGTTTTCCTTTTCTTGCTTTCAAGGTTGGCATACATTTAAAAACATGTTCACCATATTATGACTGGTATGTTTATGTGTTTGGAATGGTTGGGTGTCTTCCTTCAGTGGCATGTCAGCCATATTTTCCCAAATTTTAATGTTGTAGAACTAGGTTCTAAGATAACAGAGTCCATGGAAGCCCTACCCTCTGTGAGCAACAACCAGAGTTACAGGAAGAATTAATGGTTAATCAGCCTGAAAACATTGCCAGTGTTTCCAGGTCTGGAGAATGTTTTCCCCATTGGCATTAGCTTTGCTCACCGTGTTGCTGGGAGAGCTAAAATGTATGAAAACCAAGGAACATCAATTGCCATATCCTTCTGAGACCTCAGTCTTTCCTGAAAAACGGGCAGATTAGCTCAGTCCTCTTGTCAGATCATTCAGCCCCACTAAAAGCATATTTATCCTGCCCCCATTTCAACTCCGCAAACAATCTTCCAATGTCGTTATGATGCTTTTCTTCAGATGTGGCTGAGCAGTATTTTCAAGAGAGCATGGCGAACCTTAAGGATGCTGAAGGGACGGGAAAGGCCAAATTTCTTTCAATTCAAGATGATTATTGCCATTTTCTACAAGCCACTGGACAAAAAGAGGTAAGTGAGTTTGGCCCAGAGTCGACTACTCTGTACTCCATGTACATGAGTTGACATCCAAAAGGCCACTCCTTCGTGCTGCAAACATCCGTTAAGCCCACTATGTCCGAGGCATGTGCCAGACTCCATGGGGACAGGGGTAGATAATCCCAGGAGGCCTCTCTTGGGCCCCTCCCAGATACTTAGCCTTGGGAAATGAAAACTATTCCTGAGAATGTAGATCCCATGGCCCCCAGCCTCCACAGAGGATCCTAAAAGACTAGAAACCTTGGAAACCCAGTGGGCAGACCCTGCTTCTCACAGCCTGTGGTTCTGGCTAGGATAGAGGGTGACCATTAATGGGGCTGATCCCTTTCTCCTTATTTTGGGTTATGGATGGAATTTACATCCCTAATGAGAGCTACGCGGCACAGAAGTTACAGCCCACAGTCCATGGAACCATACAAACATGCTTTTTTATGGCTTGTAAAAATGGAACAAGACCCAGAGTTTATATTCACTGGTAATTAAACCCTTGGGAACATATTCTATGCAAAGCCAAACAGCTACCAGAAAGCCGCTTGCTGTGGCTTGAGATATATATGTATGTACGTGTGTGTGTGTATGTATGTGTATATATATATACACACCTATATAATTTTTTTTTTCAAATGAACCTATCAAAACAAATCCTTGAGATGAAAAGCTTGTATTTCCTCTGCTGGTCTGTAGAATTAACCCCCTTCCCTACTTTCAATGGACAGGAGCTTAAGGAACGTGGGTTTTTAATCTAGAAGCACCCATGTTCGTCAGGCCAAAGTAGGACCACAGTAGCCATAACGAATGGGAGTTTGCATATTTTTCTAGATCATCCTACTGAGTAGAAAGGGACCTTTCAGGGGCCTCAGCTTCTAGAATATCTGGAGAAGTTATGTGGAGAGCACGTGGGTCAGGAGTCTAGAGGGGAAGTGGGGGAGTCTGCTCACGTCATGCCTTACCCCTTCCAGCTCATCGGTCATTTTTATCTCCAGAATGTACTGGTGGTCATGTCCCCCTCCGCCAGTCATCACATCCTGCCTGGACCACACGAACAGACTCTGGTCCCCCAGCTGCCTTTTCCACTCTTGCCTTTTACTCATCCATTCTGAATAAGGAAGCGATGGTGACGTTTTCAAAACACAGATCTGATCAGTGAACCCCCGTTGGCAAAATACTCCAGTGGCTGCTCAGTGCCCTTAAAATAAATCAGAATCCTGTACGTCTCACCACACCTTCAACGCGATCTGGATTCTGCTGACATTTCCGGTCTTACTTCCGCTCCGTCCCTTAGTCTGCTCAGTTTCAGGCCACATTGGCCTTTTCCAATCCGCACTCCCAGGAGCGGCCAGCTCTCGTTTCCAGCTGGTGGAAAGCTCTTCCTCGCTGGTCCGGCGACTGCGGATCCATTCTGAGCGCTCACCCGCTGGCCTAAGTCCTTTCCCCAGGCTTCATTAGATTCTTCCCATTATTGCTCATCATAGAATCCTTTTGACACGATAACAGGATAAGGGGTGCTTGGTTGGCACAGTCCCTTGAACATCCGACCCTTGGTTTCAGGCCAGGTCATGATCCTGGGGTCGTGAGATCGAGCCCCCTGTCGGACTCCGTGCTAGTCATGGAGATTCTCTCTCCCTCTCCTCCTCCCACTCATGCTCTCTCTCTCTCAAAAATAAATGATTATAAAACAATATGAAAGGCATGATATAGGAATAATATAACCATATAATAAGAATAGTAAGTTATGTGTGGACGTGTACTACCTATCCCCCTGACGGGACTGGATTCCATAAGAGCAGGGACCCTTTTGCTGGTGGTGGGGAGCCATGAGCAGCTGGGTGGGCGGAGGCTTGGCTCTGGGTCGCCTGACTGCTCTGGCTGCCACAGGGCATCTGCCCTCCCCCTTCCTGCCCCCCGTTCTTGTCTGGCTTCCTGCCCTGGTATCTGTCACCGACGCCACACTTCACCGCCCTTGCCCTAGTCACCCAGATCAGTGGTATTGAACTAAAGATGTACCTCACTCCCCTCGGCCTTCTTGGGAGATTTTAGCAAACTGGCTCTTTTGTTCAGTCCCCTGCCAGCCCTTCTGGTGCCCTGGTAGGAATAGAAAAAGCTGCCTCTTCCTCCGGTGGCTGCAGCTCGTGCCAGAGCACATTGCTTGGAGAGCACACACAGGCTAGATTTCAACTGTCCTTGTTCTCCTGTCCTTGTGCAGGACACAACCTGCCCCACCAGACATGGTGGCCTTGCACGGTGCTCAATGTGGTCGCAGCCCTCTCCCTGTAAGTACTCACAGGAGGTGGCCAACAATGTTGGGCCCCGAGGACAGTCCCAGGTGTGAGCATGGTACTGTGCTCAGACCACCCCAGATGCGGACACTGCCCCTACATGGGCTAGAGCCCTGTGCTAGGAGGAAAGTGATCCTTGGGAAGGAAAATGCCTTTAAAGGTAAAATGTAAGTGAAGGTCACTCTGTCGCAGATTAAGACATGCGTGGGCTTATCTTCTAGCTTCATGCTCGATCACCTTCTACTCTTTCCTGCTTTCCTGCTCAAGAACCTTCTCCAGCTTCTTATTCCCCATAAGAAAATCCAAACTCCCGACCCTGGCATGAAGGCCCTCCACCAACCACCAGTCTGGTCCATGACTCCCCGCCTCATCCCCCCCACCCCCCCGCTCTACTCTCCCCGCTGCAGTCAGATGAACCCACTGGCTGGCCTTGCCCTTCTCCCACCTCACCCCTGGGCTCCCAGTTTCCCATGTAACCTCTCCTCAGCCCACATAGGTCCTATTTTTCCTTCATTCCTCTCCATTATGCTGTTCTGCCTCTCACAGAGTGACACTGTCTCTGTTCCCACCCATGTGACCTCTCTTCCATTGCCATCTCCACCGGCCATTCAAGTTCATGTACGTCTATCTCTAGTTTCCCCTGTCAGGCTAGAAATGGCATTGAAAACCTCCTTTAGCAAAAAGAGTCTGGTTCTTCTTTCCATCACTGGCTCCTCAAAACCTGACAACCAATTTCCACGGACAGGTCGCCAAGCCCAACACCCGCACCTTGCCAAATCCTCGTTCACAGATGCTGGGGGTGGGGGGTGGGACGTACAAAGGACATAATGGGCTTCAGCATCAGGCAAGTACCCCACACACCAAGGTAGGTCACACACTTCACAATTTACAGTTTCTCTCCTCCGAGGGTGATTCCATCTTTCCGTGAAGAAATTGTTTCTGCCTTATCGGTGCCTTGGCCGTTTCACACCCCACACCCCACCCCTAGCACTTAACTCGTATTATTGCCCGTAAACTGAGTAAAGCTTTGCCAGCTCCTTCTATCTGTGGAAGGTTTATCAGGATGCCTTCAGGGCTGTATGGGAAAGCTCTTTAACTGGTTCCAGCCTTATTTGGCTCTGAAATTCAGCGTTTGTGTCTCGTAGCCGTAATCATGCTTTCGTGGACGTACAAGACCATGGAAGAACTTCAGGAGACATGTGGGCAATGGGCAGGCAGGGCTTTCCCTCTGTATGTCTTGGGGTCTGACTGAAGAGATTAATATCAGAAGATCCTGGTTTCTGACCAACGCATGTGTTTTATTCGATGTTGGCGTAAATAAATCTGATAAAGCACACAAAATGTCAAATATATTCAATTTTTTTTTTTTTTGCCATGTTAGAATGTTTGCTTTTGGTTTCCTAAAGTATTTCTTATGAGAAATAGAAACGTCTGGAATATGTTCTGGATGTTTTTTAAGTACATGAATTGCCAGGAAACTCTAATTTTCACTTACGTAAGAACGTCACTGTGCGCAGAGGAAAAAGAGCCTGCAACTGAAAAGGATTAAAATTATGGGCCAGATTCAGGTCCCAGGTCAAACACTGGGGAGCGGTCTGATCCTAAGCAAGTTCTCGACTGCTCTGTGCCTCAGTTTCCTCCTCTGTTCAGTGAGGATTAATACTTATCTGAAAGAGACAGAATTAAATGAGCTCACGCAGGTAAACTGCTCAGCACAGTTTTACCTGTTAGCTTCTGTTCTTACTACTCAGCTAAAATGAATTCCCGTAATACCTGGGGTGGCTTTATTCTCCATGTGTCTTTTGTGCGTTCTCTCTCTGTGGTTAACATCTCCCTGCCCCATATATGCCATTTCCTGTGTCCCGTTCAGGGAAAGTAGGCTCAGCTCATGGGACACAACCCAAACCCAATCCCTGAAGGGTGAAAATACACATCAGTTACAACATTTTCTTTTATTTATTCATTTGATAAGGGAGAGCATGAGCAGGGGAGAGGCAGAGGCAGAGGGACTCCCCACTGAGCCAAGAGCCCAATGTGGGGCTCAGTTCCCGGACCCGGAGATTGTGACAGAAGCCGAAGGCAGCCACCCAACCGACTGAGCCACACAGGCACCCCCATTTTCTTTTTTTAAAAGATTTATTTATTTATTTGAGAGAGAGAGAGCGCGTGTGAGTGGTAGGGGGAAGGGCAGAGGGAGAGAACATCCCAGCAGACTCATGATGACTGTGGAGCCCAACGCGGGGCTCAATTCCCTGAGCCAAATCCAAGAGTCAGACTCTTAACCAACTGAGCCACCCGGCTGTCCCCAGTTAACATCATTTTCTTAAGGGGCATTGATCTTTATCAATCAGCCTTTGAACTTTCTAACCAAACTTTAACCTTTGTTCCTGTCACAGAAAGCAACCTCGATCCTGAGAGAGTCCCTGGAAGCCAAAGTGGCAGTGTGTGGTGATCTCAGTCCCGAGGTGGCCGAGACCTACCGGCTGTTGGGTGGGGCCGACCTGGCCCAAGGGAACCACGCTGGGGCCCACAGGAAACTGAAGAAGGTAAAGCTGGACTCAACACTAACCTGGCTAAGCCCTCCCCACGGCAAACTTTCTCTCCCTCTACCATGCTGTTTTTAAGTGAAACATTATCAGTGGCTCACTTAGGTAAGATGACCACTTCTGCAGCCAAGCTAAGCCAACACTTCTTAGATAAACAGTAGAGTCATCCTCTTATACACATATGTTGTTAAATGAATTATCAGTGATTTTTTATTTTAGCATGCAGTTATTTTCAAATTTTTGCCTAAGGCCATTCATCAATCTTTTATTTTATTGTACTCTTTTTGTAGAGTCAGTTTATGGAGGAATTCTTGAATTCTTGTGTGTGTTCTTCTAGTTTCTTTTTAAATCGGGGGTTTGTTTGTGTGGCAGGTGTGAGGTAAGGATCTAACATTATCTTTTTTTTTTCAAATGGATAGCCAGTTGCCCAGCACCTTTTGTCAAAGAACCCATCTGTGCTCCAGTGATTTGAGAGAACACGTTCATCATGTACTACACTTCTGTGTATGCTAGAGTGGATTTCTGGATTTCTGGTCTCTTCCATTTCTGGTCTCTTCCATTTGTCTTTTTGTTTATTCGAATTCCAGTGCCTCATTGTCTTAATTATAGAGATTTCATAGCGTGATTTAATAGCTGGTAGAACACCGCTCCCCTCAGGGTTTTTTATCTCCCTAGAGTATCAGGTTTTCTAAACATTTTTGCGTATTTATTTTTCCACATGAATTTTAGTATCAACCTGTCTAGCTCCATAAGAAGTTTGGTGGTAGTTTTTGGAGGATCATGTTATTTATAAACTTCTGGAAGACTGAGAACAAGGGATGTCTTTATATTTGTTCATGTCTACTTATGGACCATTCAGGCACATTTTAAAGTGTTCCCTGTATAAATTCTGCACATTTCTTATTAGGCTGATTTCTAAACATTTCCTCTTCCTTAATCATAATGCTGTTATAAATGGAGTTCTATCTAATATTATATGTATGTGTGTGTATATGTGTATGCAAACTGTTGGTTTCTCTCTGTTAATTTTATTTTGCTATCTTGCTTAATTCTTTTCTTGTTTGAGTTCATTTGAGCATCAGTTCTTTCAAGTTTTTCAGGTGTACTATTACATCATCTGCAAATACTTTTACTTTCCATTTTCCAATTCTTTTGCCTCTAATTGATTTCTCTTGTCTAATTGCATTGGCTCATACCTCCAGTACAATAATAAGTAATGGTAGAGATAATAGGCATTCTTATTCTGATCTTAGTGGAAATATTTATAATGATTCTTCATATAGTAGATGCTGGCTTTGGACTAAGGTTTATATATTTTATCATGATAAGGAAATATCTGTCAATTTCTATTTTCATGAGTATTTTTTTATTAGAAATAACTGCTAGATTTTTATCAAAGACTTTTTCAGCATCAATGGAAATAATCATATGATTCTTTTTAGATCACTTAATATGGTGTATTTTATTATAATATTGAACCAACCTTGTATTCCTGGAATAAATCCCCATAGTCATATTGAACTATTTTCTCAGTATAATGTTGATTTGTTTGCTAATATTTATTTTAGGATTTTTTGCACCAGTATTGGTAAGTGATATTTATTTAAGTTACAATGTTATATTTGCTTCATAAAAATAATTTGGAAATTTACCTTTATTTTCTATGCCTGAAGGAATTTATGCACACACTAAAACTATCTAGTCTTTGAAGGTTTGTACCCCCTGTGAAACTTTTTAGGCCTGGTGCTATTTTTGAATGGCAGGGAATTTCTTGATAATCTTCTCTTTTTCTCTATAAAAGATTGCTCTGTTGAAGCTTTCTATCTCTGATGAGGTCATTTTAGTGAAGTGTATTTATCTATTTCACTATCATTTTCAGAATGATTTGCATGGAGATTTGTAAAGTAATTTCATGAATTTTTAAAATCTCTGCTTTTTTCATAGTTCTCTTCTCATTATAATTTCTTCATTTTTTATTTGGATTTCCTCACTTTTTCCATTGACTGAGTTAGTTAGTGGTTTGTCTATTTTGTCAGTTTTTCAAACGCCATAGGTCAATTGCCTTCCTATTCTGTTTCACTAATTTCTGATTTTATCTTTATTTTTTCTTTTCTCATGACTTACTTTGTTTTACTTTGTTGGAGTTTTTCCTTTTTGAATTGGGACTTGAACTCATTTGTTTTCATTTTTACTGAGATAGTGTTTTAGGCTGTGGCTTTTCCTTTTCTTATTGCTTTAAATGTATCTCATAAATTTTGTCATGTTGTGTTTTCATTACATGAATTAGTGTTAAAATGGGGAAATCCTGGGAACCTCTAAGTAACATAACTGACCAAACCAAAAGAATTAACTTTAGTTCTGAGTGGGCTGCCGTATGCATTGAGCCTTCTTCTCTTCTTAGGACTTTTCTGAATCTGTGGCAGAAGGCATCAGATTTGGTAACATGCATGGTGCCTAGTTTTTAACAACATGATACATATATCAATTATCACACAGTCAATGGTAGTTATCAGTCACCTTTTGTGTGCCAGTAGCTGTGAAAAAACAATGATCAAGACAAATATGCTTCTTGTCTCCATGAGACTTTCCAGTCTGAGCAGGGAGATATGTTAAACTAATCATTTCAGATAATCTGAACATTATACATGTGCCAAAGACATTATTGAGGGAAGACGGAGGAGGGAAGCTAAGATGGCGGTTGCCCTGGGTTTCTCCATCTTCCACTTCCGAGCTCATACTTATTAACTGATTGTTCTATCCCCTGAACTGTGCTGAACGATTTACACATATTGACTTATTTAAGCCCTATTGCGACTTGAAGAGTCGATACCACTACTTCTGTTTTTTACAAAGACTTGAGTGTCTCAGCCTTGACTGCAAGGTCAGGAGTTGGCGGAGTGGGGCTTTGGCACCAAGAGGTACAGACGAGGTAATCTATTCTGCACTTCTCCTGGTTCACCTCGGGCTTCTCAGCAAGATTTTGTTTGAACGAAGACTTCCTATCCTTAAAAAAACATTGGGGAACTAGTGACGCGGTGAGGAGAATGCCAAGATCAGAATAAGAAGGAGTCTTTGGATTACCACTGACAGAAAACAGTCAAACCAGCTCAGATATAAAGGGGGTATCTCTTGTCTTATGGTTTCCAGGGAAAGGCCAATAGGCAGATGATTAGCAAAGTAGGACACAGCTAAGCCTCAGGAGAATGTTCCAAGGCTATCTCTGCCCCAGACTCCTGCCTGTCATGGCAGTCTACCTTCCAGATGGAGATCATGGCTGCCAGCCCTCCAGAGTTTTACTTCCTACCCCTGCGCCATTTCCCAGTCATAGCTTGAAAGATTCTAAGGAAAGGGCTATAGACCTGACTTGAATCAAGTGCTCACCCTGGATCAATGAGCTGAGGCCAGGGCCTTGGTTGGATGTAAGAACATGGCGCCCTCATGGTGGCTGGGTGGCCCAGGGTGGAGACGGTGCAGGAAACACAGTCCCATAGTCAGAAAACCTGAGACAGGGTCCCAGAGAGAGCCCCTCCCTGTTGTTGAAACACATGCAATGGGTCCACTAGGCATCCAGTAGCTTCCTTCCTGAGAATATTCCAGGCCAATGAGGGAGTTACAGATTGTAAACCCCCAAATGTGGTATCATGTGCTAAGTTCTCCAGGTCCACACCGAGATCTGTGGGAGGAAAGGGGCTTAGGGAAGGTGTCCACAGATAAGTAGTCCTAAAAAAGAGTGTAGCCCAACAGAGACAAGAATTCCCAGGTTGGAAATGAGGCGAAGAAGAAGTTCGGGGGTGAGAGAGTAAAGCCTCTTTAAGAAGCAAAAACTAGTTAGGGCCTACCATCTGGCAGGAAATCATCTGGGAAAGACACAGGGGCAAGTCTCGGCAGCCATGTTTATAGGCTAAGTGGCTGAGACGTGATCCTTTAAGCAGGGGTCCCAAACAATGGCCAGTGCACTGTCTGTGTTTATTTCATTACAGTTAAGGATACAAGCCAAGTTAAAAATGGTGTTTACAGATAGTCATAAAACCTGTCATCATTTTACAAGTGATCATAAATCGATTCGAGTATAGGGAATATTAACTGAGCCCTCACTAAGGGAAGTCTTACCTGTACCAAAAAAGAAACCTATTCTCCTGAGTAAAACTAGATTCCAAAAACACCTACGTGTAATTTCACTGATAAACTCGAGGAAGTTTGCTCTCCCTCTTGTTCTGTATGTGCCTACACAGTCAGCCTCCATTTTTGTCTATATATGTAGAGACAAAAACCCGCAATATTTACCGTGTGGCCCTTTGCAGAAGAAATTTTCTGAATGTTGCCTTAAGCAACTAGGAGCCATGAAGGGAGTTTTAAGCAGGACACCACAGGTCTGTATTTGTACTTTGGATTTAGAAAAAGAGAAATCATAGTGAGGACCGTGTGGAGAATGGACTGGAATGGGCCAAGAATCAAGGGCAAGAGGCTTGAGGAAGACGAGAAACCTCTGTGAAATGGCAGTAATAGCAACTCCCAGACTTCCTTTCCCCCACATTATGCCGGGGATGGAAGGAGGGGAGGGCAGGGAGGCTGATTTCAGGAGCAGCAGGATCCAGCGGGGCCCAGGGGGCCACCGGCCCCAGAAGGAGGAGAGGGCTGAGCTCTCCTGGCCGAGGCACTGCCTGCCCTTAGGAGCCTCTGCTGTGATTCCTCTGCTGAAGGTTCAGCCTGGTCACTCAACTCTGGGCCGGGGAGGGACCCCAGGAGTGGGGATAGCTGGCAAACTTGAGTAGGAGCCACATGAACCTTCATGAGGACCCCGCTGTCCCCCGTGGGGCGGAACAGGTACCATGACCGACCTCAGGCTCAGGGCCAGGCTGGCTGCTGCCCAGAGTGGCTCGTACGTCGTTCCTCATCCTCACAGCCCTGCATGTCAGACCTTAGGAGCCCTGTCTTCAAGGGAGGGGGCTGAGCTGCCTGGAAACAAGTGAGTTGTACATTGGCAGGTTCATCTTGAGTAAGGTTCACCAGGCATGGGGTCTTAAAGCCCTGCATGAGGGTGACCTTCTGAATCCAACTCTCGGGCAGGGGTCTCGGGGCCCAGGAATCTGCATTTTAGCTTCTGGGAGAAGGTTGAGACCACTGCTCTGGGCCCCATGCCCACCCACGGGGCTTAAGATCAGGTCAGCCTCGAGACACTGTCAGGTTTCATCACTCCCGAAGGCTGCCCTGGACGTCAGTGACGTTTTCTCCCTTCAGTCTGGCCTCATTAACCATCAGTCCCGAACACCATGACTTTGACATTTTAAAGCTATCGGGCCATTTGCCAGAACGCGGGAAGGAAGGGTTGACACTTGTGTCTGTTGTCACGCGGGCTGTGGTCCACACGGTCCTCACTGCCCCTTCCCTGCTTGTGCCCATCTGAGGACAGGGCTGGCCATGCTGTGGACGCTGGGGCATGGACACAAGACGTGAAACATGCCCTGCACATCTGCCCGCTGCTGAGCCCGGCTCTCCCAGTCGCGGTACTTGGCACTGGGCTCTGTGGAGCCGGCGGCAGGTTTCTAAACCTCCCGCCCGAGAGCTTCTCTCCTTTTTATCCCAACAACAGCTCTGTCCCCCACGTTGTCAACTCTGGAACAGGAATCCAGTGAACACTGGCTTTTCCAGATGTGCCCTCCTGGGCTGAATGGCCCGGGCATGGTCCTGTGGGCCTGAAAAAAACAGGAAGGCACGAGAAACAAAGCAGACCGCGGGATTAAATTACCGAGAGGAAAACCATATTATTGATCTGTTTTTCAAAGGCATCTGCCTGCAGGATGCAAAGGGAGAAATCTGTTGGCTCCAGATGGAAATTTCCACAGCAAAAGTTCTACATGCTTTTGCAACATAGAGCCCTGGTTTGATTCTAGGATGGCTGTCACTGCCATCATTTTCATCCCAGTGAAAAGCTGCAAAAAAAGCGTTCCTAAAGACTGTCTCCCAGGTCAGTAGTCTCTCAGGACTCACCCTGGACCCAGGGACAGGGTGGAATTGGGGTAGCCAATCCCCTAGTGAGTACTGTCCTCATCGGGGGTTGGTCCACTGCCTTGACCACCTCACAGCTTCCAACAGTAAACATTTCCATAAAAGAATAACGCGATGTTACGTGACCCCTTTCCCACTATGATGAATCAGTTGAAGAAAGGTGGAGGAAAATGGTTTTTACTCGTAGGTTATAGATGAAAAAGCCATCCCTGGAAGGGTCTTGTGTGGTCATGGATTAAGACCCTAGACCTGCCGTTCCTCCAGCCGGCCAAGCACCCAGAACTTTCTGGTTGACGGCTGTCTTTTATACATAATTCACGCACTGTCATTCCGTCCGCAGACCACCGAGTTTTACTTTCCCTTTAGCCTGTGTGGTGTTTTCCTGGTTGCCCCGGATACCAGGAAATCCAGGGCACTTTTGGAGTCCTCACACAGCCCCATGTTCACCACACTGTTTTCAGGTGCGGTTTTATTTATTTGTCCTTGATCCTGACTTCCCTAACGGTCACTAACTAAACCCATCGCTGGGCTGCGGCAGATCCCCTCCAATCCTTTTTGGGAAGAGAGGAGGTCATGACGTGAATTTCACATCAAAAAAATCCCGTTCCTAAAAAAAAATTAAAAAAGAAAAATCCTGTTCTTGGGTTGAAAAGCACGCTGGAAGACGTTCCGATGGCTCCTTCCTCAAAGTTCTCTGTAAGTCGGTTGATGCGGTATAACCATGGGAGCGGATGGTTAAAGGGATCAAGGTCATCCAGTTTTGACCTTATGTGGGGGAAAGGTGGAGCCTCCCTTGCCGGCTGTAGGCTAGGTGAGAATGAGAGAAGTCCCCCAGCTGCCAGGAAGGGGCCCCATGAGGACAGCCCAAGTACAGCACCCCTCCACCTTCGCTGTCCCCCAGAAAACACAGACAGCCCCACGCAAGGCTATGTTTGCTGTGGCAAGTGCCTCAGCTAGGAGAACTATTGCTTGTGGGTTGCTTACAGCCTTCAAAGTCCCTAAACTGGCCTCGGAGTCTGGAGGGCACAGAACTGGGGGTCAGGACAGACCATCCAGGCCCGAGATTAGCGAACTGTCAGAGCCCCACTAGAGGAGGGACAACTGTGAGTTTATGGGTGCATGGCCAGCGATGGAGGGAAAGGCAAAATCTCCCGTGGAAATTCAGTGTGACCTTAAACAAGTGGAAAGAGTGATGGTCAGGAGTGGCTGGTGTGAGGGGCACCTGGGTGGCTCAGTCGGTGAAGCGTCTGCCTCTGGCTCAGGTCATGATCCCGGGGTGCTGGGATCGAGTCCCACGTTGGGCTCCTTGCTCAGTGGGGAGCCTGCTTCTCCCTCTGCCTATTGCTCCCCCTGCTTGTGCTCTCTATGACAAATAAATAAATAAAATATTTAAAAAAGAGATGGCTGGTGTGACCACACCGGTTCAGGAAGGACCCAGGTGACATGGCTGAGCTCCACATCAAGAGAGAAACCAGCCCCAAAAAGTCAGCCTGAAAGGGTTAGCTTGAACAGGGTCCGGACCTCTTGTTCTCTCTGGCTCTGAAACGGGCAAGTCCAGCTCCTGTACAAAAAGCTGGCTGCCTTGCCTGACACGTGGGTGCGCAGTCGGAACCCCCCCCCGCCCTGCCACGCTCGCAAGTCCCGCTGACGCGTTTGTCCTCAAATATTTGTGTTGCAGCTGTCCTGGAGAAAGATGATGGTAGCTTGCTCCAAGACAGTGGCCAGGGGATGGAGCAGAGTCGTGGGGGAGTCGAGGGATGTCGATAAGGATGTAGAAACCACGGCACATGGCAGCTCGGAGGTGAGGAGTGAGGGAGACGAGGATGCCGTGAACACTTCCTAGGGGGGCACTCAGTGGACACTCAGGGAGAGCTTTGCGGACGGGTTCCGCTCTTGGCAGCCGTGTGAGTGGCAGTCCATGGGCCCCCCCTTTCTTCCTCATCTCCCTGGTCCTGGGGCCCCTGGTCCCACTTTAGCTGTCCTTGTGTTATGGGAGGCTTCCTACCCACCTGTGCAGCAGGTGGGGCTCAGAATTAGTGGGTCTCCGGGTCAGGGAGCTGTAGGGGGGTGTGCTTGCATGATGTGTGCGTGTGTGAGTGTGTGTGTGTGTGTGTGTGTGTGTGTGTGTGTGTGTACCTGAGAGCGAGAGAGAAGGAGAGAAGAAGAGAGAAGGGGAATCAATCAGTATCCTTCCTCAAACACTTCCCAGACCTCCTTCCTGGGAACCCCCACCCCCTGACAGCTCTTCACAGGGCTGACTCCCCATCTTGCAGGCCTCAACTCACATGTCACCTCACGAAGGCCTTCAGCCTGCCCCTCTCTGCTCTGTCACTGAGGGGGACACAGGGTGGCAGATGGTGGGAGCTCTGCAAACACCTGCCACAGGAACGAGCGGCCACGGAGGATGATGCAGGCCCAGTGAGGGCAAGGCTGGTTCCCGGGTAGGGCTCGGGTGTGCCCCTGTTTCTGCAGGGAAAATGCCAGCTGGTGAATTGTGTTCCGGTTTGTCCTTTTGGTTCTCCCAAGGTCATCATTTGAGTAAATCACTTCTGCCTGCCTGGTAAAGATTCGTCAGTGAAAGCCTATTTGTGTCTTTCTAAACCTTGAAGACCTTTTGCCCTTCCACATGTTTTGGGTTCTGATATCTTTTTTTTCTTAATACCAGCCTTGAGAACTGACATGAACACAGAGGCACAGTTCGTGAGTTTCTGGGTAATTCTCCGCCACAGGCAGGGAGTATCTCCTTTGAAGGATGATGTGTTAAGAGGAGTAGTGACTTCATATCGTGAGAGTCGTTCTTTATAAACGTACCTTTCCCTGGCTTTGTTCTTCATTTCATATAAAGACAAAACACATGTGATAGCATGACAGGCTTGGCATGGACCCTTACTTACCAGGCGGGACAAAGTCTGTCACTTTTCCATAACTGAGCCACGTGGCCTTGCAGCTGGCTCTTCAGCTGATGGCCTTGCTGCCCGGCCTCCGTTAGTAAGAAGGACGTGTCCCATCAGCGATTCCATTGTCTGACATTCCCTGATAAGAAGGGTGAGGCAGTTCTAGGACTTAAGGCTGGAGATTAATGGAGAAAGGGAGGGCTAGCCCCCCCCAACCCCCCCCCTCCACCACCCAATCCAGTTCTGCTGGGAAATAAAGGAATGGCCTTGCAGGCTGTCAGGACAAATGAGTTGCTTCAGAGGCACTCATAAATACGTAAACAGAGATTCTGGCCCAAACCAGGAGATAGGCTTCTTTGTGAGTTAGGGTAGTTCGCTGTTGGGGTTTTCTGAAGCCCAAGTAGACTGAGTCAGCTAACTTCCATGCCAGACCTGACCCCGCCAAGTCACCCCCTCCCCCAACCACACTGGGAAGGGCGCGAACTCCGGGGCCCAGAGGTAGACCAGAGCTAGGAAGACACCAACCGATGGCTCCTATCCCAGCGGCTTTGTCTCAGGAGCCCCTTAGGAACCTAGCTCTCCAAACTCAGTCACTTCAAAAAGACTTTTTCAATTCCACATCAAATGCTTAAGGTTGTTTCTAAATGACCTCTGCAACCATGAATGACTAAGCGAAGCAGCACTTAGCCAACAGCACTCTTGCAACTACGGAACTTGCCTGGCTTCAGAGAGCAAAGGTTTATCACGCTGCACCCACCAGGAAGCTCCCTTGCTGGAGGTTTTGGTAGCTGATGGATCCCTGGAGTCCTGTCGTCCAGCCGTGTCTTTGGGCTCCATATAGTCTGAGTTCAGAGGGGTATTTACAATGCGTGGCTCCTAGTAGGTTCAGTGAACAACCTATTGACTCGTCTCTGTCGATGTCTATATTTTTAACAAAAAAAATCGAAACACCTATTTCACGCAAAAATGCTTAAACAAATTTAGCTGAGGGGAGCACAGCATTGAGAAATTGAATTTACGTTTCTTAGATAAATACGTGGTTATGTAAACATTTTCTAGCAAGGGTCGGAGAGGGGTTATTTCACTCTTCTAAAAAGGTAGCTCTTGGAGACTATTCCGGCTCATGGGTGAATGATTCTGACGTGGCGCCTGGTTTGGTGTCCGTGGGAGCTGTCCTTGTAAAGGAGATTAGGCGGGGGCTGAGGACCCATTTCCCTCTCTTAGTTAGCAACCCTTTACGTCTCTTCTCGCTTCAGCTAGAATTTGGGGCAGATCTTCTTAATGAGGATAAGTAGCCTTTATAAAAATCTATTAATGCCAGGAAGAGAAGAGTCTTGACTACGGGGGTCTAAGGAGTAGGGATGGGGATGGGGGAGGGGCTCACCTCTCCTGGGCTTGAGTATTGATTATGACCCTCTCTCCTACCTCTAGTCTCTCTACAAACATTTTCCCCCGGGGAAAAGGATCAGAACCCAAGGTCTAGAATGGAGGTCGCTGGTTAAACCAGTGAGAATTTGTCTAAGCTCTGTCAATTGCCATGTCATTGTTCGCAGGAATCTGTGACTATTTAGCTAGTAGGATGTCTTTCCCTAGGGAATGAGGGGCCAGGGAGAAACTTCGGGAACCAAAGGGGTAGGATGGAAATTCTTCCTGACTTTTGGATTTTGGAGGCCATCTGTTAAGGCAGGGTAAATGGAGACCTCAGACCATCTCAAATAATCATTATAATGTCAGTAAAATTCTAATGTCACGGTGAACGAGTTAGCACCAAGGCATGTTGACATCAGCTCATCTCAAAATGAGTTGCATCGGGGGCACTCATAAATATGTAAACAGAGGAGTCGGGTGGATTTAAAATTAGACCCGATCTTTTACACTGAGTTAAGGTATTTCTGGCCAAATAGGAGAAAATTAAGTTCGTTCTGGCAAGAATGTTAGCCCTGGACGGAGGCCTCTTACTGCCAAGCTGGAGCTAGGGGAAAGCTTGTTTGCTTCCTGCTTATAGACCTTCCTGAGCACAGTCTCTGCCGGGCCCTGCGTGGAGACACCCCCAGGCTTCCAACAGCGGGGAGCCACGGAGGAGAGGAGGGCTGGAAGAGTTCCCATCAAGTGTCGTGGGTGTCGGTGAAACCCGTCCCCAGAAGCAGTACAGAACTTTCTCAGGTTCCTGCATTTCCCAAGTTCACAGTTTATCTGTGGATTAAAGCAGTGTTGGCTGAACCCCGTGGAATGAGCAGCACTTTGCCTAGGCCAGACCTGGCTATGGCCCCAGTGCAGATTCAGAATGGTTGGGGCTTGCTGGAGGGAGGGGGTGGGATTTTGGAGAATTTGGATCATCTGCTAAATGGAATAACAGAACCGGGATGCTAATTCCTGGTGTTACATAATTCAGCCAACAGAATGACAATCTGTTATTTTAAAAGAGAACCCTGTCATAGCTTCGTCTAATAATATTTCTTTCCTCCAGAAGACAGCCCGATTCTCAGATTCCAGAACCACTTTCTCAGTTCCTCAGATTGAACCAAACATTCAGACGATTTTGATATTTTCCACATCTTACAAAGACAAAGCATTTTGGCTGCTTGCATTTGAATTTTCTCAAAGACCTAAAAAATGGTTGGCAGATCGGAACGAATAAACAGTCTTCAGTACAAAGTCCTCAAACTCTCACACTTTTTTTGACTCAAGCTGTTACCATGTAGAAAAACCAATTCAATATTTTAAAAATATCAACTATTTCAAGTATGCAGAAAAGCATGAAGAATGTAACAAACACCTTTGAGCTCATTAATTCAATAAAAGCAATAAGACATGACCCTACAGTTGAAGTCCCCACTCTTCCCTTTCCCACCCCACTTCCAGATGACCACTGTCCTGAATGTGATATCATTCCCATGTTTTCTTAATTATTTTACTGTGGCCTTGCTTCACATGCTGCTTAAGCTTCATATAAATGATATATGTGACATATATTATAATAATACACAATATATAATGCATTCATCTGTAGTTTGCTTTTTTTGGTCTATGATCACGAGGTTCATCTACATGGACACATACAAGCACATCAAAAATCTATATGATACTTTACAAATACAATACATATATGTCACAATTTACCTATCCATCACTAAATATTGCCAAGTTGTTCTAAAAAGTGGTCATACCAATTTCAACACCCACAATCAATATAAAAAAAAGTTTTTCTTGTTTAATACCTTTGACAGAGCTTGGTATTATCATGATCAGGCTAGGACTTTTGCAATGTAATAGGTAAAGGGACAACCTCATTGAAGTTTCCGATTACTAGTGAGCTTAGGTGTGTTTATTACCACTTAGTTTTCAACTTGTTTGAATGATATGTTTATGTCTTGATTATTTTCTATTGGTAGGTTGCTTTTCCTATACCTTATAGGTGTTCTTTATATGTTCTTAATACTAATCCCTTCTCAGTATTGTGTGAGTATTTTCCCTCATTGTCTTTTGTCCTTTCCCTCTTTGTGCTTTGCTTAAGGTGAATTTTGGTGCATAGATGTTTTGAATTTTAATACAGTTAAATTTTATCAGTCTTCTACTTTTGGTTTGTCTGGATCTTGTTTAAGAAATACTTCCATGCCTCAAGATGATAAAGATAAATCTTCAATGCTTTCATCCAGAAGTTCCACTTATTTTCCAGTTCAGTTTTTGCCCCTAGACCCTTCAGGGCCACTTCTGTCATCTCTCAAGTGTTGGATCCTCTTCCATGTCCTTTTGGTCTATTTGTCTATCTCTGGATGAAAACCATTTTGGGGTTTTGGCCATTTGGGAACACAACTTTCATCTTTATCCTTTCCTTGAGTTTTCCCTTGCCTGGTCCAGGCAACCAAATGGCAACCCAATATGGAGAGGGGAGAAGTCAAGCCAGAGCTAGCCCTGGGTAAAGACATAGGCTGAACAGTTAACTCCTAAGAAATTACTGTATAGTAATGAATATAAAAATCGCATATAAGATAAAGCATTTTTTAACAACAACAACAATAGGCAAAAGCATTAAAAAACTTTTCTGGGCTATTATAAGGCTCATTTTATTTATTTTTTTAAAGATTTTTTCTTTATTTATTCAATAGATAGAGATCACAAGTAGGCAGAGAGGCAGGTGGGCGGGGTGGGGGGAGCAGGCTCCCCGCTGTGCAGAGAACCCAATGCGGGACTCGATCCCAGGACCCTGAGATCATAACCTGAGCTGAAGGCAGAGGCTTAACCCACTGAGCCACCCAGGCGCCCCAAGGCTCATTTTTAAATGGAAACTAGAGGCCATCCCCAGTCAATAACAATGCTGTTACCTTATCTTCTAAAATGATTATAAACATAGTTTGCATACAGCTTGTCCCAGGGAGTTCTGTGAAATAGTGTTAAAACTTTACATGTGTTTCCTGGATCCTTCAGAGGATCCAAATTGAAGGTCAGGCATGGGTCTTTATGCCATTCAAGAGAGACTTGTTTTTCCTGCAAAACGCTCACAGTGGCACTTGTGTGACCTCATGATTATCATTGGTGTCTGTCCTGCAGTGTCTTCAGATTCAGACCCTCTTGTACGGACCGCAGGACAAGAGAACTCTGGCCACCCAGCAGACAGTGGACGTCCTGTCCAAGTGAGTTGGCTTCCATTTACAATGTTTCCTTTGCCATTCCGATCTCAAAGGAAGCTGGTTCTATAAGGGTCTGTGGAGCTTTCCGTGGAAAGTTTTATTAACTGACTTCCCATAACTCACCAACTGGGCAGGACCCGTGGTTCCTTTGAAAACCCAGCTGTAAAATAGCTCCCTTGCCCAGATACTAAGAAGAGATTAGCTCTTGAATCATGTCAGAAACACATACTAGGATTCTCCCTCCTGGAGACCAGCCCCTGCCCATCCTCTCCCCTGCTGGAAGGCAAGGGCACAGTGTGCTCTGGCTTGGCCTGCTGGAGGCCTGCTTTGGCTTCTCTTCGTTCTCAGGGTGCCTGTCAGGGTTGGGGGAGGGGGTGGCACGCGGAGAGCCCTCTGACTTCTCCATGAAGGCTGGTCCTAAGTCTTTCTCAGCCAGTGAGCAGAGAACAGGCCACACCCTCACAGAGCCTGGGTTGCCCAGAGCCTGTGGGCAGATTGCCAAGGAAAGATCCTGGAAGCATGGAAGGCGAGGAGGCCAGCCAGCAGGGGGCTCTGGGCTGACATCCTGAGCTGGGGCCCCTTTAGCCCTGAGCCAGCAAGGCCTCCAGCCCCAACCTCTCTGCCCGTGTTCCACTCACTGAGCCAGCCAAGGGCTGATTCTCTCAGCACAGTGACAATGGTCGTGAGGAATTAGAAAGCAGGAGAAAAAAAATCCTGTGCAAGGATTCTCTTCTATCTTCCCTCCCCAGGCCCCTTCAGGACCTGTAGCTCAGCAACTTCGATGCTCCCTTTCACCGTGGCAAGGGCTGGGCCTGGTGGGGGAACCGTGAGGAGGTCTGAGGGACACAACACTCACCCCACCTTCTGCTCCTTTGCAGGGCCCCAGAGGTGGCTGTGAAGTCCAGGCAGGCCCCGAAAGCCAAACCCGCGTTCTACACTGGTGTGGCCCAGCACACTATGCTGGGGAAGGCCAGGCCCAACATGGCGGACTGAGACCACCCACCCCCCCAAACTCCCCTCCCCCCAGAGAGAGCTTTGGTCATGCCTGGGCGCTGACACTGAGGGTGACCTATCAATCTCTCCAGCAAGAAGGAATTCGACAGACTGTTAGGGCTGTTTGCTCCCGCAGGCCACAGATAACTGCGGATTTCCTGCGGGCCACATTTTGACAGTGGACACCCTTGGGGGTGATCTGGTGCTTCTATAAAGAATTTCTCTTTTTTTACCGCCCAAGTGGTTTTTCTTGCCAATAAAATTTTTTACCCATCGGCGCTACTGGGGCTGCAGAGCCTCTCTTCACAAGCTGACAACTTCTGGTGTGTGAATACAGGGCATGGCACCCGTGCATAGAGAGCCCCTGGCCTAGACCTGGAGTCAGATTTGGAGCAATAAAATTCTGGAAAAAGCCCCCCTTCTTATAGGAAGATAATAGGGATTGAAAATAAAATGCTAATGAGAGGAATCTTGGAAGTGCTGGGGTTGGTGTTTTGAAAATGAAGCCTGCCTCAGAGTTGTTTGGATCCTAGAGAGGAGCACGAGGAAGCTTCTCTTTACTCATGCAGTCATTCACCAAATGGGGCTGAACTCCCGGCAAGAGCTGGGGACACAACAGTAACCAAGACACAATGTCCCTATCCCCTCAGAGCTTGCCCCCCAGCATGGATGCAGCACTAAACATAATGGTGAGATTGGTAACAGAGGGAAAAAGCCCAGTAAAACGAGGCAGGGAGTGAATGGTGGTAAATGGGCTAGAGGTCAGGAGAGGCAGGGTAAGGGAGTGAAGGCAGCTGAGCAGGAGTGAGGCTGGCCTGGAGAGGCTGCGGGGGAAGGCCGCTGACTCCGCTGGCCTCTACTCTGGGCAGAAGAAACATGGCTGCGCTCTGGAGCTTTTTTTTTTTTTCAAGTCAGTGCAGCCCTTGGCCCCCTACTCCCCTGGCTTTCTCTGGGTTCAACATGTGAGGTGGGGAGGGTGGAGTGGGACAAGCGCTCGTGTCCCACAGTGGTCTTCAGTCTCCTGCGGGGGCTGGGGGAACCCATCGCCACTCAAGAATGGAAAAGCAGAGTGGGAAATTTTGAGCACTTCCCTTCACACTGTCGGCAATGAGAGCCAGTGCTGGATAGAGGAGGGCAGAGTACGCAGTGGGTGGGAATGGGCTGTGGGCGGCGCTGTTCCTGCTCCTTCCCACCCTCATCCCATGGACCGCAGCCCAGCAAAACTGCAGGCTAGTGGCTAAGATGGCAGTGGGATGAGGCACAGACCCCCTTCCTCTCCAGCACCCAGTGGGAAACCCAGAGCCACTCTGGTTCCATTTGTGCAGGATGCTGCCTCAAGAATTGATGGGGGAAATAAACCCAAAAGGTCATGACAGGGCGGAGAGGCAGGGTCCCCGGTCCCCTTTGGAAATTGTGACAGCTGCCCACCCCGGCCACCCCCACTGGTACCCACTCACCCAGACAGGCCTGCGGTGGGATGAAGTCATGAGGCGTGGTCACCGCTCACCAAGTGTCCCATCTGATTGAAGACATGGGTTTCAACATGGATGGTGGACTAGGCATTTTGAATATATATCACATTGGAGTCGGCCAGGGACTGACCGTGTACGTCCAAAATTCCTGATGATGCCCTAATCCCCAGTGTGAAAATGGGGGGCCTCTGGGAGGTGATGAATATGTGAGAGTAGAGCCCCATGGATGGGATTAGTGCCCTGATCAAAAGGGACACGAGACACGATCGCTGTCTCCACCACGTTAAGACCCCACAAGATGACCGTCGGCCAAAGCGGACAGACAGCCCCAACCAGGCACCGAATCCACCAGCACCTCGATCTTCAACTTCCAGCCCCCAGAACTGGGAGAAATAAATGCCCATTGGGTGAGCCTCCCAGTCTATGCTGTGGCCGCAGCCTGGGCACACAGGAGTCCACGCTGGGCTTCTGGGGGAAAAATAGTGAATTCTTACGGGACTTCTTCCTTTCTGTCTTTCTTGGAGGATAAAGTCTTGGGGTCATAGAAACTAAAATGCATTTTAAATAATAGCATCCCTACCCCAGGAAAGAATGAATTTAGGAATGGCCCACCCAAATGTCTCCTGTCTATTAAATGTGTTAACTTCAGCACAAGAGGAAGACTATAGATGTTCGTGGTCTTTGTGGTAAAAAGTTAAGGTAAGGGTATCTAAAAACTCTTCTGTGTCTCAAACAGCTGCAAGTTTTTCAAGCATCTAAGAAACAGCCATGATTTACTAACCCCTCCAGTCTGCACTGGGTTCACAGGGTGAACCAACCTTGCCTCGGGCTGTCCTGGTTTTAGCACTGAATGTCCTATATCCCGGGAGACACCTCCATTCCAGGCAACAACGGTCACCCTATGGCACTAGCCTTCCAGGCTGGGATGACCACATTCTTACCACAGACTGTCCCGTCTGTATTTGGATACAAGCCAGCTGGGTTTTGCTCTGTCTGCCATGGTTTCTAGTTGTGTGTGAACAATGCCAAGTTCTAATTCAGGTAAGGGACTGGAACTTCTCATACAGAGTCTCCCCAGTGAATCTGTGCCACTATTTAAAAAAAAAAAAAAACACCAGAAAAATCCATGCATGTAAACACATATATTTTAATTAGAGTTTACATAGAAACCACAAAAATAGCTACTAGAAAACATTCATTCTCTCCAGGAACAAGGTGGGGTTTGTTTTTTCCCTCCAATTTTTATTTTTATACATTCTTGTGACATCTTCCTCTGTAGGGAACGAGAGCTAAGAAAGATCAGCTTTTTTGATGATTCCATCCTAAATATACATCCGAAACCACACAATATTGCAACCACCCGCGGGAGGGTGAAAAGCATTCTGTTAATACTGTTCTGTGTCCACAACGGTAAATACTGGTTCTGTCCCTCCCCCAGAGCTGAGTTCTGTTGCCTCCAGAGCAACTGGTTTTAAAGGACCCGGAGCTGTGGGGCTGATCTGCACAGCGTAGAGCACCTGCCCTGCTCCGAGACTGAGCAGCCAAAGACGCTCGGGAGTCCGCATCCGCGAGCACTCCCGGCAGAGGCGTGTTCTAACATGGAGATATAAATGAAGACCTCGGATATTTTCCAAATAGAGGTGGGTCGTGATAGGAATCATCTGTCCTCGTTAGTACTCATTTACCAGATCACAAGGCAAGGGAGGGCCATTAAACTAAGCCCACTCTGACTCACAGAATAGACTCTCCCCATCCTCAGTCTGTCTGGCCATCAAACCCATAGGCTGTCCCCTTGACCAATAAATCAAGGTGATTTCTATACCTTTCTACTTCTACAGACACCATCACTCACTACCGCTAACAAAATCAGCCCATCTCTGTACTAGAAATAAGCAGTCTCTGTTTGCAAAGCTGTCGCCTCTGGACCAGTTTGTGACAGTTACTAGCTCATCCGGCCGACAGCACTGGTTGAAACAGGCAAGTCAACTTTGTCTACCCCCGTATTCGGTGTTTGTCAGATCATCCTGAAAGCTTTGCTGCATCCCACCTCCACTTAAGAAAATATGCTCTCCCTGGACTATTGGCTGTTGCCATTTCTGGGGGCTGAGGAGATGGAGGTCTTATGGGCCGCAGAGCCACACTGTGCAACACCCCCACCCCCCGACTCCTCATGCCATAACCACCACCCCCATCACCATAACCCACTTGAGGCTGCTGTCACTTCGAATCGTTATTCCTCAGCTCATTACCTGCAGCTCTAGCTTCTGTGTTAGAGGAAATACAGCTTCAACTTTATATGCCAGGAACAAGCTCAGATTAAAATAATGCTATGCTGTGAGAGATACTATCTTTGCGTGAGGCCAGACCTTTGCAGATGGAAGCCTTAAAATCAATGCCCTTATGTAAAACAAAAGCACCCTCCCTCTAGTATCTTCAATTCTGCAGTATGAACTTGAAGGTCCGCACCCTATGGCCCAGGGTGGGTAGGGCCTTTGCCTTCCTCCGGGGGCCCCTCCTGGGTGCTTCAGTGCTGGACAGCCAGACGGGGGCCCAGCTCCTTCCCCCCAAACATCATTTTCTCTTCCACGTTAGTATTCTCTCTCCTGAGCAAACGACCCCAATGGTAACGATTTCTGTTAAAACCTCAAAAACTTCCTCGAGGTCAGTGCTTGTTCTCCATCCCAAAGTTCACAAAGACCTCGGCCCCTTCCACTGTGGGCTCAAAGGGCTTGTTTGGGGGGCACCGTCTGCCCTGTGCTCCCGGGGTCACTGCACGACCATCTGGGAAGCCAAGTTCTCATCCAAGCATCAATGTTCTCTTTATGGTCTTTGGGATCTGCCTCCCACCTGGGAAATTCAATGTTCAGGTGCTTAGGGCTAAGGTGCAGAAAAGCTCGAGAACTTGGGTTGTAACAAAAAAGGCTATTTAGACCACGCACTACTTAACCACCTAGTGCTGCAAGAAAGTACCCGAAGCTAGTTCCAAGGATCATTTGCCCTGCACACGCCGGCCCAGAGTAGGGTTCTGGGACCTGTGCAAACATAGCAGGTATATTAGGGACTTGAAATATCACATTAGGCTGAGGCCATCCTCTCCATAAATAAAACACTATATATATGTTTTTTTATAAAGCTCTGCACATAGAAAGCAATTCATTCATGTCTTAAAGTGAATTTAACTTTTTCCTAAAGATAAAAATCATTTAGAGCCTTTTTTTTTTCCTTATGGAAGCAAGCTGCTTCTTTCCTAGGATTTCTTTTCGAGAAGACTTAGAAAAATGCATACATTTTTCCTTTCCAATGCTAGTCTTATTACTTCATATGAGCACATGCAAATAAGATTGACTCGTAAATATATTACTTGGATTTTGTTACCGTATAGGCATCTGACCTATGGATAGTTACGATTTTATACAGACGTGAGGCATTTCTGTGACTAGGAGCAGAACTGGTAGAAACTGCCTCTAGGAGTGGAGAGAAAACTCCAGGAAAAGGAACTTTGAAGACTAAAATGATAAAAAACATTTCTGTCAAAGTTCCAACTCAAAAATA